CGGACTGCTTCCCGGTGGTTCATTGTCTGAACCATGGGGGGGGGGGGGGTCGGTGCAATCCTTGGCTCTTTGGGGCTGGTCGCTTCGGGTGATTCGTCTGCTGAGTTCTCGGGGTTTGGCTCTTCTGGCCATTCACATTCGGGGAGCGTCTAATGTCCTGGCGGACGACCTGTCTGTCTCAGTTCATTCTCCTGTGCACAGAATGGACAGTTGATGCCGACTCGTTCAGTTGGCTCTGCCGAGCGTACAGATTCCTGGAGGTGGACCTCTGCGCATCAGCGAGGTCGAGGTGTTTCCGTGTATATGTGGTGCCCCTCCTCGACTGCGAGGCCATCGGGGTCGATGCCTTCAGGCAGGAATGGTCAAGCTGGTGTTACCTGTACCTCTTTCCCCTTTCCCCTGCGTATATATGCACATGGCGTATATATACGCTATGAGTAACATGTCCCACCAAGCGCATGGCGTATATATATGCCACAGGGTGCCAGGTACGATTCAAATGGCCCGTGGCTACATGGGGTTCACATCAGCTTCCTCAGGATTCTTGTAAACAGACGCCATGTTTAAAAAAATCGTGGGCAATATTCTCTGGTGTGAGAGCCACAGTACTGTGGAAGCAACCAATGCTGGTGCATGCAGCATGAGCTAACAGCATTGCTGTTCAGCTTGTGACCACAGCATTGCCTAAAAATGTCAAAATATATATGTAACTGCTATTATTTAGCAATGACAGTATTACAGATGACTCCTGACTGTGATAAAATTGACCAGGATTGTGATAATAGTAGGATTGTTGTGATAATGTTGAGGGAGGGAGGGAGATTACTAACTGTGTAATTACCTAAGTGTAATTACAGTGTGGCCACTGTAATTACACTTAGCCACCTAAGTGTGGCCACCTGTTATTGTCTGCATTCACCATACCAGCTCAGTGGTTCTCTATGGTGAACACAAATGTAGATACTTATATATAATGTGTGTATTAGTGTAATAACAGCAGAAGGATTATGTTGGGAGGAGCCATTTAGGTGACGGAGGTGGCGTCGTCTGCATGACTTGTCTTGCTGTGTAGAGTGTGGCTACTATGCTCTTTGGCCACCCTACAAGCTTAGGTGTACAGTTCCGGTGCATACAACATGTAGATACTTATATATAATGTGTGTATATAGTGCAATAACACTACAAACAGTATTGTTGGGGGAGAAATTTTAGTATGCCTGACCTTGAATGAGTGAGGGAGGCAGCCGCCAGCTGGCTGTGTGTGTAGTGATGTCTCTTAGTGCCTAAACTAACTATATCAGCTTTGTTGTACAGTTGTGGTGAACAAAACATGTAGATACTTATATATATTGTGTGTATATAGTGTAATAACTGCAAAACTATTTGTTTATTGCTTTATGAACGTAATAATTGAATCACTAATATGAACACCATACTTTTGAGTGTAGTGATGATTCACACATTTTATTATATAAATCTATCACACTACACACTATTGAATAATATTACTGCAAAAAACTAAGGAAAAATCAATCAGACATTGAAATAATTAGGTGATAATATCTTTGTGGCAACTCTCACCTGTCAGCTCGGGTGACGCTGACCGCCTCTGACGACCGCTCTCTTAACGCAAACATTTTGCCAGACTTCCTCGGCCTATTGCACCCAAAATATGTCACCTACGATTTTTTTTTATTTTCCCGTGCTCAGGGAACACAAATTAACATTTTTAGAAGACAAAATAGTTTTTTAGAATTGTTTTTTCTTGTGCACAGGGGTGTAAATCTCCTCAGGACCCCTTAGCAGCTTAAGGGTTAATCCAAACCCGATCAGGGGGAGGGAGTCAAGAAAAGTAGGAAGGGCAGTGCTGGTATCACACAGGTCGCTATCAATCTGATGCATAAATTTCCTAACACCAAAGATTGGAAGGTCAGCATTTTGCAGTTGCACCTTGATGTCATCTGCACTAACTTTAACAACATACTGGACCACATATCGTACCAAACAGTCACCCAGAGGCATATAACAATGGACCTTGTAACCAAAGATAGCAGTAACATCAGAAAGCACCAAGTCCTCGGAGGAAGCGTGGTCCACTACAATCAAGTTCCTGTGTTTATTCGACCTGAAATCATGCACCCTGATCTTAAAAAACTCGGGAACGGCTTGATAGAAAAGACTTCGTGCCCTACTATTTCCAAAAACGTTTTGATCAGTGGGCGTATCGGCATCAAAGGCGATGATGAACGTACATAGGCCAGGAGAACTCGTCTGACCGGGAGGGAGTGGAGGGCGTGTAGACAAAGGTTGCGGAGGGTCACAGGGCACCACAGAACGCAAGCAATGTTTCACCTCCAATCTATTAGCCTTACTATGATGTTTACTGTCCAGAAAGTCACCATCGAGATTCCCCTCCAAGACCGGGAGAACGTTGTGACCGGAATGCATGCCAAGGGACAACGGGGCCTGAAAACCCTCAAAGGGATCGGAAATGTCCACGGGAGAAATGCTGCACGAACCACCATCTGTCGCCATGGTCGGCCGGCCCTTTTGGTCCTGGTGATAGGTTTGTTTGTTTGCAGCCATCTCCTTTTCTGGTGAAGAATGAGTCCACTGCTTTCAGGAGGGGTCCTTGGGTTGTTGATGCTTAGTTTGTTTGGCCCGGGGTGCATCTGGTGTTGTGTCTGGTTGCGGCTCTTCGCCGTTACCTCCATGCCACGGCCTTGGTGGCTGGGGACGTGCTTTGGGTTGACCCAATTTCCCATCTTCCCTGTTCCAGGGCTCGGGTCTCACAGGTTGTCCGCAGGGTTATTAGGTCCGACCAGCCTGAGGTCTATCCTTGTGCCCATGACGTTCGTAAGTTTGCTGCTTTGGCTGCCGTCTTCGGTAACATGTCTTGGGCTGACATTCAGCACGGGGATTTTGGAGGTCAAACAGGGTCCTGGCCGCTCACTACCCTGTCAATGTTCCTGGCCCCAGTCGAGCATGTGTCGCATTGGGTTGGTGGTTGCAGCCAGTTGTCTCAACTTCGAGTTGAGAAGCGAGTGGCAACCACCTCCCAGGTAAGTCCCTCTTGTTTTTATCTTTGGTTAAATACCTCCGGGGAGCTGAATGGGCTCCCCCCAGAAAACCAGCGTTGAATGTAATGAATCGCCATTTTTTGGGTGAGATCCAGAGGCTCGCCCAGCAACCCTCCCTCCCTCCAGTCAGCAGTTACGTTGGTTTTTTGACATCCAGCCTTAGTATTGGGTTGGATAGCCGGCGCAGGGGTCTGGGGCTCCCCCTTCCCCCTCCTGGGGAGAGGGGGAGCTGCACAGACAGCGGCGCCGTAAAGGTTGTGATGTCATGCTCGTTTGCTCGTTTTTCGTTTGAGGAGTTCTGTCCAACAGTTTGGCTTTCAGTAGCAATATTTTAACCCAGAGAGGGTTTGTTTTGGGGTGCCTATCTTTCTGGGTGCCTGACCTGGATGATGAGAGACATAGAATGCTTCCAACCACACTGGGGTTTCTATAGGCCATTGCTCCTCGTGCCTCTCTGAGGGGGGGAGGGGGGGCCAGGTTCTAGCTCATGGTCCCCCAGTAGTCCTTGAACTCTATTTGCCTGACTGATGCCAGGGTCTAATGCATTCATATCAGCCGTGAGAGCTCCAGGGAGTCTCCAGGGTCTCACCCAGAAAATGGCATTTTATTACATTCAACACTGGTTATTTATGAAATAATTATAATTTTATTATAATTCTTATATTAAAATTATACTTATTCTATATAAATATATATTCTATTATAAATTGTTAACTGTATATTTCATAATTTTGCTTTGCAAATTCTTGTTTGGAAGCAAGCTAATGGGGGTGAATTCCATACAGTTGCATGGAATAAATGGTAGAGCACTAGAAAAGCAAAGGCAGAGCAAAGCAAAGAAAAAGCAAAGGGTCGTCCCAAATAGAAATAAATGTGACTGGAGAAATGCAGTAAGTAGGGTACCACATGGTTCCATCTTGGGGCCAACCACTTTTGTCATTACTGTACTGTATATAAATGACGTAGATGAGAATATTACAAACCACATCATCAAATTGCAATTAACACTAAAATCAATGAAGTAGGAAGAGAAAATTATATTGAGGCCTTACAAAGAGATCTATATGAACTCCACAAATGGTCGGAAAACTGGCAAATGCTTTTTAATATTGAAAAATGCAAGACCCTGCATGTAGGATATAACAGTGCACATCACAAATACCAAACTGACAACATTACCTTGCAGTAGATTGATGAAGAAAAGGACCTTAGAGTTCGAACCCCACTAGTCACCGAGGTGCACAATAAGTGGAAGTTGTAGTACAAAAGTCTACTAAACCCTAGGAATAGTCAAAGGAACTTCTGACTTCCAAGAAAAGAAGGTAATTATTCAAATATACAAATCTCTGGTGTGCCCCCATTTGGACTAATGTATCCAAGCATAGAGACCTCATCTTCAGAATGACATATCTGCTTTAGAGAAAGTTAATGTTGGGTGAGAAAAATCATCCCAGAACTAAGTCAACTCTCATTCCAGGAATGATTGAGGGCCATAGGACTAGCAACACTGCAAATCAGATATGAGAGGGCAGATCTCATCAAACTTTTAAAATACTGAACAATATGAAGGATGTCAATCCAGACTTCTTCTTTAAAAGGACAAATATAACATATACAAGGAGCAATAGATTCATGCTCATCAAGAAACAATGTATTACAGAAAATAGGAGATGCTTCTTCACTCATAGGGTTATAAACCCATGAAACTGCCTAGCCATGAATGCCAAAAACATTGCTGCAGTTCAAAATCCGGCTGGATAAAATCATAAGGAAAAATGGGGGACCTTTGACAAGCTGCTGGCTTCCTGTCCCCATTGAGGCCACTAGTGAGTTGATGGCCCTCAATTAAATTCAAGAAATTGTTAAATTGTTTATACAGTATTATTAACATTGCTAAAATACAAACTTTAATAGTATTACCATGTCAGGGTCATTCCAGTGGCCAGGTCCAGCATTAGGAACTATATCATCCTGGTTGTCTCCGTAATAATCAATGATCCGCTGTACAGACTCCCAAGAATCTTGAATATCATCAAAATTTCTCCAGAGGTTGCAGGTGTTAATAATAGACGTGTAGTTTGGCTGAAATATTCATACAACATTGGTTATACATATTATAATAATAAAGTAAATATATTTTATATGTACAGATTATAATACAGATAATATGGGGCAAAACGACAGGGTACAATTTATTTAATGACCAAACCACTCACCACAAGATGGAGAAACTATTACATTTTAGTCTGTCCTGGACCATTATCAAGTCGTGTGTGAGGTCACACACAACTTGATAATGGTTCAGGACGGACTGAAATGTTGTCATTTCACCATCTTCTGGTGTGTGGTTTGGTCATCATATCTTCTGCCACTTTATTGTGACTCATCATCTGCATACAATTTATTTAATTTAATAAAAGCTGTCCCAAAATAGTTGGATTTAGGTTACAGCTCAGAAGGTAGCTAATGGTATAAACAAGTCAGAGATCTGCTAAATGTAACCAACATGAAAATACAAATTAAGTATTAGTATTAGGTAAGTACAATTAAGTTTATTTCTATTACTGTATATGGTTAGTAATTACACGGAGTTGGTAGAAGGCTGGCTGGCCTGAGTCACCCAGAGAAGCACTATTTCATCTGTTGCTGACTTTCATAAGTTTTATAAACATAATCCCATAATGGGAAGGTTCCTAAGCTTGATGACATTCCTCATCATAGGAAAGGTTTTAAGTGAAGTAGCCCTAGGATCAATGTTAGTCCCACTTATGTTTCAAGTGAAATAGCCCTAGGATCAATATTAGTCCCATTATATTTCAAGTGAAATAGCCCTAGGATCAATATTAGTCCCATTATGTTTCAAGTCTAGTAGCCCTAGGATCAATATTAGTCCCACATGTTTCTAGTACATATAAAGGATTTGCCTAGTTGAACATCAAATTATATTATGGGCTACTCATGCCCATGCCACCTCTTGGGTGGCTTAATGGCTGCTCTGCTGTGAGTGGTGCAAAGGATCTTGGTATATGCATGAGTACCATCTGTGATATATGGCAACACAAAGCTCATGTACAGTAATTTTAGTGTTGTGTTAGGTTATTTAAATGATCATTGTTGAAGCCTTTCAAAAGAGCAAGCTGACATACTCTGACAAGATAACTTAAAATTTCTGTTATTGTCAATAATGTATGTGAGTACTCTTCCTGATGTCCCTCTCCTGACTATGTAAATTTATGTTTATTGTGTGTATTTACTATGTGTGTCTGCAGAATCCAGCTATAAGCTATAAGCTCTTGGAACCCGCCTTTCTAACCAATCTATTTTTCTTCTATTATGTCTACTACATATATTTCTCTCTAAAACATGCACACACATCTCCAGGAAGCAGTCCGTAGCAGCTGTCTAACTCCCAGGTACCTATTTACTGCTAGGTGAACAGGTGCATTAGAGTGAAAGAAACTCTTCCCATTTGTTTCTGCCTCCACCAGGAATTGAACCTGGGCCATTAGGACTATGACTCCTGAGCGCTATCCACTCAGCCACGAGGCCCTGTGTAAATGCCCAAGTGTAGTTACCGGATGAGAGCTACACTCGTGGTATCCCATCTTCCCAGCACTCTGTCATGTAACGCTTTGAAATTACTGACAATTTTGGTCTCCTCCACCTTCTCACTTAACTTGTTCCAACCATCTACCACTCTGTTTGTGAAAGTGAATTTTCTTATATTTCTTCAGCATCTGTGTACAAACTCCCAAGACTTCCATAGTAAGTTTAAATCTATGACCTCTTGTTTTTGAAGTTCCAGGTCTCAGGAATTCTTCCCTATCAATTTTATTGATTCCCGTTATTACTTTTTACGTAATGATCATATTGCCTCTTTTTCTTTTATCTTCTAGTTTTTAGTGTGTGTAATTACCTAAGTGTAGTTACAGGATGAGAGCTACGCTCATGGTGTCTCGTCTTCCCAGCACTCTTTGTCATATAACGCTTTGAAACTACCAACGGTTTTGGCCTCCACCACCTTCTCACCTAACTTAACTTGTTCTAACTGTCTACCATTCTGTTTGCAAAAGTGAATTTTCTTATATTTCTTCAGCATCTGTACTTAGTTTAAATCTGTGACCTCTTGTCGTGTGTAATTACCTAAGTGTTATTACAGGATGAGAGCTAAGCTCATGGTGTCCCGTCTTCCCAGCACTCTTTGTCATATAACCCTTTGAAACTACTGATGGTTTTGGCCTCCACCACTCAGCTTGTCCCAACCGTCTACTACTCTGCAAAAGAAAACTTCCTAATATTTTTTCGGCACCTTGGTTTTCTTAGCTTGAATCTGTGTCCTCTTGTTCGTGAAGTTGGTGGTTTCAAGAATTACTCTGTCAATTTGGTTGATATCTGTTAGTATTTTGTAAGTGGTGATCATATCACTCCTTTTTCTTTTCTCTTCTAATTTTGGAATATTTAATGCCTCTAGTCTCTCCTCATAACTCCTGTATTTCAGTTCTGGAAGCCATTTTATAGTATGCCTTTGCACCATCTACTGTAATAATTTGACTTGTTAAAAAAAAAAAAAGAGGCAATGATGAATGTAATTAAACGCCATTTTCTGGGTGAGCCTCGGAGGCTCCCTAGAGCTATCAGGCTAATATGTATTATATTATTGTATCAGGCTGATAAGTATTATATTATTATTATGTATTATATTATTATATTAGTCTGGGGAATCACTCAATTGGAGTTGAGCCCACCTGGGACAACGAGCCAAGACCTGGCCCCCCTCAGAGAGGCAAAGGAAGCAATGGCTAATAGAATCCCCCATGTGGTTGGGGACATTCCATGTCTGCCATTGACCGGGGTTGGCACCCAGAAAGGTAGGCATAACAAAACAAACCCCACCTGGTAATAAAATGCAACTGAAAACTGAACAGGAAGATTATCTTGGTTATTTTTAGTGGATTTTGGGGCTTAGTATCCCTGGGTCCTGGTCCTCGAGCAGGCCTCCTTTTTTGTTACAAATCTCCAAGAAGTAGCCCATAGCAGCTGTCTAACTCCCAGGTACCTATCTACTGCTAGGTAACAGGGGCATCAGGGTAAAAGAAACTCTGCCCATTTGTTTCCACCTCCACTGGGGATCGAATCCGGAACCTCAGGACTAAGAATCCGAAGTGCTGTCTACTCAGCTGTCAGACCCCACTGTTAGGGAGGCCGAACTCAAATTACAACTTAAGGAAACAAGCCAACAAGCAAAAGTCCCACCTCACTGCCGTGCTGCCTGTCTGTGCAACCCCCCCCCCCTTCCCTGCCAGTTCCCCCATGCCAGCTACCTAAGCCATCCAGTTCGGAGGCTGAGCAACAAAAAGGGAAAAAGAACCACCAACCAGAGGGAGGGAGAGTTGCCAGGGAGCCTCCGGGGCTCACCCAGAAAATGGAGTTTCATTACATTCAATGCTGGCTTTCTGAGGAGAGCCCCTACTGCTCCCTGCTCCCTGAAGTTACCTAACCAAAGATAAGAAAAATGGGGACTTACCCGGGAGGCAGCCGTCACTCACTCCTCAACTCAAAGTTGAGACAACTGGGTTGCGACCCAAAGCCACACACGGACAACTAGGACCAGGAATGTTGACGAAATGACGCGCAGCCAGGACCCTGTTTGACCTCCGAAATTCCCACACCCAAATGTCCGCCCAAGACATATTGCCGAAGACGGCAGACCAAAGCAGCAACTGAATAAACCTGCGGACAACTTGGGAGATCCGAGCCCTGGAACAGGGAACGAGGGAAACCAGATCAACCCAAAGCTCATCCCCGGCCAAAGAAGCCGAGGTGCACATGTAACGGCAAAGAGCTGCAACCGGATACAACACATGATGCACTCTCAGCCTGACCATCCAAGCATCAACAACCCAAGGGCCCCTCTGGAAAGCAGCCGTCTCATTCATCGGCAGAAAAGAAGGAGACGGTTGTAACCGAACAAACCGACAACTAGGACTGAAGAAGCAGAAACCCCTGCACCAGAGAAGAGCATGAAGCTCTCCCACCCGACCCCTAGAGGCCAATACCAACTGAGAAAAGCCTTGGAGAAACAATCTTGAACTGAAGGGGCCACCACGAACCAAGGAGAGAGAAAACAGAGCACCCTGTCCAAGGACCAGGATGGCTCAGGCGGCCAGGGGTGAAACAGAGCACGAGAAATCTTACGGAACAGGGCCAAAGTGACATTCACCCCGAAACGCAAGCTGAAGCAGCTTTGCCAGTGCCGCACAATCTGAGGCGACAGTATTAGGAATCAAATGACGGTCCTGAAACAGCCAAGAGAGAAAGGGCAAAACAACCCAATCAGAAATAGGAGACAACCTACGAAGAGAAAGAAAATGGCGAAAAGAAAGCCAGGATACTTTATACTGGTGCTGAGACTAAGCTTGTAGGTGGGACATCATCAATGAAGCCACCAGATCACCATACAAATGGAGATAAAATGCGACAAAAAGACCAGACACGAACAGCGGAAGAGAAGATCGAACCACCCAGGTCCCTGACCGGACCAATCTGCTGAAAGAGGCGGAGCCACAGAAAACATCGCAGGTTCGAACCCCAATCAAGCAGCGCTTGAAACCAAGGCTGGGCCAGCCACCAAGGGGCCAACAGGACAAATCCCCCCAGTAAGTCTCCAAACGAACCAGGACCCAAAGCAACAGCTGGACCAGGGGGAAGAGGTACAGGTAATCCCACTTCGACAAGTCCTGCCGAAAGGCGAACACTGCAACAGCTTCACAGTTGGGGAAGGGCACCACATATCAGGAGATGCTGAGACCACATCAGGGCCCCCCTCCAAGATAAAAAAAAAAAATAAAAATAAAAAATGAAAATAATTGAAAAGCAAGGAGCCAACCTGCGAGCAAAGCGAGCACCAAGCCGACAAGACAAAGACGACTCCATAGTAGGCACTGGCACCAAAGGCCCACCTCGAGAAGCAGAAGCCAAGACCCAAAAAGTGCAGTCTGCAGGCCAGGAAGGCCCTGGAACTCCAGAAGAGGTATGTCCGTGGGGGCACACAGGAAGTAACCCACCAAGGGCCACTCGAACCT